ACGTTTTTAGACCAAATATTACAGATTTGAACAAATACACACAAAAACATCAAAATTAGCTCAGAAACAGTACTATATAACATTTTAGYCACATTCTAGACAGTTTATCAGCTAAAAAAAGTTAATTTTGGGGTAAGTTACTCTTTTAAAACTATTTCTCTAGTGCCTCCTTAAACCTTTAACTAGGCAGCCGCAATAAATAACTGCTAGCTAACTAGTTTTACATTTCTTTACCAGGTGTCAGCTGATAGTTTGTGTATCGCTGATGATTCAAACTGTTTCCTGGAGCTTCTGCAGCTTTTAGCAAATGAAACCTTTCTCCAAGGGGGTCCATGTTGAGGAACTGGAGCCACAGCAGGTTCCACAGGACAGCGTTGACTTGCCTTGACAACAGTGCAAAATTTTGGTTTAACAAAAATAAAAAGATGGGCCGTTTTCTCGTTTTTGGAGTATAAAACGAAAAATAGAATAACCATCTGTTTTTTAATATTTGCTTTTAAAATGAAAAACCAATGACCCAAAAATATACAGATCTTGGAGTGACAATTATTGTGAAAATTAAATTAGATCCCTTTTAAATTATTGCAGTGCATTTCCTTAAAATAGACATAAAAGGTGGTTAAAACAGGGTTATAGTTTGTCTGTGTTCTATCTCTGTGTAATTACAGTCTGAGACGGTGCATGTTTGATTACCTCATTGACTAATTTCACCCTTTTCCTTTCAGATCTCCAGAGTCCCATGGCTCTAGAAGCCCTGAGCCATCAGCAGCAGCAGCAGCAGCAACAACAAGCAGCCAGACTAGGTCAGTGGGGGGAAGCAGCACGCCCGTTCCTTCAGGGTAATGTTGCCTTTCCTCTGCCCCAACAGCTCGCCCACCTCGCACAATCTGGCATGGCTCGATTTCCCCCTCAACTGCTTCGAGCAGCTACCTGGGGGCACAGTGCCAATATGGATGATGAAGCTGCTCCGACTGCGTCTACAGGGCCAAATTTCAACAGGTTAGATTTGAATCTTATTCTAGGACTAACCAAGAAATTACAATAGTTTTATTATCAAGTAATGAAAATGTTGTCATTTTGATAGTTTCGGTTGTTTTTTCTTAGTCCTGCACAAACCTGTGTTTCTTTGTTGAAACGTTTTCTAGTCATTATGTTTGGAATAAAATGTTGAATTGGATGGATGTTTTATTTTGTTTTTGTTTGTTTGTTTCTACTTTTAAGGTACCCAGGCCTTTTGAGAGAAATACCACCACAGGATCAGCAGGAACCTAGAGATGCAGCAGAGGTGCAACCTCCACCCCAATCTCGTCTCCTCCAGTATCGACAGTCCCAGCCCCGTGCCTCGGATGACTCTTCATCCTCCTTAACTGCAATTTCCAATCACACTGGCCCTTTCCCTTCAGGACTGTACTCCCACGACACGGGTCACAATCTCCTCAACGACAACCTTCTCAACAATCAAGCGCTGCAGCAACAACACCCGGGTAACGCTGTATACAATACAGCTAGTTACCCAAATCAGCCACCAGCTCACTCTGGCAGCCCCCCATCTTCCCAGGTCAAATACCTTTTGCAAGAGGCCCAGTGGTCCCAAAGCGGAAGTGCATCTGCGTCTCAGCCAAACCACCTATTAGGGAACCAGGGTCACGGCCTTCTTTATGGACTGCCTATCATGGCTCACTCAAGCAGGCAGGAGCAAGTGCTGATGCAGCTTCACCACCACCACCACCAGCAGCAGCAGCAACAACAACAACATCAACAACAGCAACAACAACAACAGCAGCAGCAACAGCTCCAACAACAACAGCAACACCAACAACAGCAGCAACACCAACAAAATCAAGGTCCAGATCCGGAGTCCTACCACCCACTGTCCCCTAGATCATCAGCAACCACAGCCCTTCACAGTGTAGATGAGGTAAGAATAATATTATTTAACCTACGGTGTCATTTTATTTAAAAATAGTATAAATCTAAATTCACTCATTACTTTTTAATTATCTGTTTCTTAGCTGCCAGTTATTTGTAATCTTTAAAAAAATGTTTTTTATTACTGAAGGTTATCTCATGCTTTAAATCTGATCGATTTAAGAGGAATACAATTATGTTCAACACCAATCTAAGAAACATTCAAGCTTAAAAATGGTATATTCCTCATTGAATGAACCCTGTGTTTTCCACATATAAAAGACAACTTGGCAATAAATAAACCAACCAATCAATCAGTCTGAAACTTTATCTGTAAATATTTTGTTACTAGCAGCCTGTTGGGAAAACATCGGTTTCTTTAAAGAAATGAAAAATTGGTACCACTTTACAATAAGGCTCCCCTTTATAGATGGCTTATAAATAGTTTATAGATAGGTTAATTCAACTGTAAACACTTTATAAATTATTAATAAATGTTTATAACGGATTAATTAAGAACAGAAAAGAGACAAAACTGTCCAGTTTCTTGCCAAATGGTGAGCCAAATTTGTTGGTGTACATATTACTAGGTTTGTAAGCACAATTATGTATTGGAAACACATACACTACTCACAAAAAGTTAAGGATATTTGGCTTTTGGGTTAAATTTCAGGACGACCTAAAATGCATTTAAACCTTTACAGGTGAACTTAATGTGACCTTCTCTAAGCTTTTAAATGCATATATCCAACTGTTAAATGTTTCAGTTCTTTTTGCACAAGTTTCTGTTTTCTAACGAAGAGCTTAATGGCAAAATTCACATCAGGTGTTTGATCATTGAATCGACCAATAAATGTCCTGGTTCAATTAGAGCTGGTGTTTAAACAGTCGTCTCCATCATGCTGTTCACATTTTGACATCATGAGACCAAGATGACACCTAACAATGGATCAACAGTACATTGCCATTGGGGTGCTTCAAACAGGATGTTCTCAGACGGATGTGGCCACTGAGCTTAGAGTGTCACAGAGTGTCATCAGCAGGTTGCAACAGAGATACCGAGAGACGGGAAGAGTCACAGAAAGTTGTAGAGGTGGACGTCCTTTGGCCACATCCCATGCTGATGACAGCTACATTGTGAACAATGCCCTGAGAAACTGGATGATGAATGCCACTCAACTCCAGGCACAGTTAAGGGAGGTGAGAGGCACCCAAGTGTCACGTCAGACCATTCGAAACCGGTTACATCAACGTGGTCTACGTGCTAGATGACCTGCAAGGGTAGCTGACCACACCACCAGGCACAGGCATCATCGTCTTGCATGGGCCAGGGAGCATTTACACTGAACGAGGGACCAGTTGGTCTCAGTGCTGTTCTCTGATGAAAGTCGATTCATGTTGAGCAGAAATGATGGCTGCCAGCGATGTTGGCGACATCAAGGAGAGTGCTATGCATCAGCCACTGTTGTCACCAGATGAGCTTTTGGTGGTGGCGGTGTTATAGTGTGGGAAGGTGTCTCCAGTCGGTACAGAACTGCCATACACTTTGTGAATGGCACAGTGACAAGCCCATACTACCTGAATAACATAATTAATCAAGTGATTGTGCCCCTACATGAACAACACAGGCCTGATTTCATCTCCATGGACAACAATGCTTCAGCTCATTGAGGTCGCATCATCAGGGAACGGCTGTTGGAGACTGGTGTACCTCAAATGGAATGGCCTGCACTTTCTCCAGACTTGAAGCCCATTGAAAACCTGTGGGATCAGCTGAGTCACCTTGTAGAGGTTTGAAACTCTGCACCCCAGAACCTGAATGACCTGAGGGCTGCCCTTCAAGAAGAGTGGGATACCATGCCCCAGCAGACAATAAGTCGACTTGTGAACAGCATGAGACGTCGTTGTCGAGCTGTAATTGATGCTCAAGGGCACATGACGTATTATTGAGATGTTGAAATTTTTTGTTGGGGTGTACCCACCATTGTTGTTAATTTTTGTTTCAATAAATTGTTTGAGATGAGGAAATGTGCATTCTTTTACTTAAATGTCCTACTTTCATGATATATCACTGTAGCGTGAACTTTTTGCATTTTCCATAAAATTCACCTGAAAGCCAAATATCCCCAACTTTTTGTGAGTAGTGTATTTAAAAAATAATATTGTACTATATTACTGAATTATACATATTAACAACTGTCAAAGGGAGCCTTATTGTAAAGTGTAAAACCGTATACTATTTATTAATGACTAATAATGTCATTACAGAGCCTTATAGTGTACTATTTTACACTTTACAATAAGGCTCCTTTAATAAACTTGTATAAATGCCATAGTCACTAATAGTGTACCTACTGTCTTACATTTTACAATAAGGCTCCCTTTGACAGTTAATATGTATTACTGTTGATATGTAAAATGTGGTAATATGTAATGTATGTGATTTCCATAAATTATTGTGCTTACAAGGTAGTAAACTAGTCTGAAATGTTTAATAAAGCACCTTTATATGTAAAATATACGTGAACAGATTTGCTTCAATATTTGGCAAGAAACTGGACAATTTTATCTGTTTCCCATCCTTAATTAATGAATAATAAACACTTATTAATGAATTATAAAGTGTCTACAGATGAATTAATAACCGATCTATAAACTATTTATAAGCCATCCTTAAGGGCTTAGACTTATTGTAAAGTGGTACCGAAAAATCTTAAAGAAAATATACATTTTGTAGATCATAAAAGGATTTTAGCTCCAAGGAGATGACCTCATAGAGCTATTGGCTGAAAACTTGTTATATAGAAAATGACTGACTGAAGAGCGATACATATCTCAGGTCCTTGTTTGATTGTTCACCCCCTGAAAGACCTTTTATCTTTGTTTCACCACTCTGTTTGTTTAGCAAATGGATCAGTCACTTAACCCTGGTCTGAGTTCCATTTCAGAGTTATTTCTCTTAAAAGGAAGTATAAATAACTGCACCTGACATTTCTGCTTCTCTTCAAATAGTATGAACCCAGAGGTCCAGGTCGGCCTCTTTATCAGCGCCGCATCTCCTCCAGCTACCCTGATGAGTCGTCTCCAGCCAATGCCCATCCCTGCCAACCAGACCCCAAGGATCATCCTCAAATGCAGAATCACCCCCCCTACAGTTATCCTCCACATGACCACCTCTGGCCCAGTAATGGTGGAGGTCCCGGTCCATTTCAAAACATTCCATGCAACGGATCCAGCACACTAGCTCAACATCGGGACCTTCTGGGTAGGCGTTTTTTTTTTTGTCAGCTGAGGATTTTATTTCACTGTCTTCATCTTTGTTCATATCTAATATAATGGCGGCCCTCTTTTTTATTGGCAGCTTCCAAGGTCCTTCGTCAGACAGAGGAGCAGGTAAAGGCTGAGCCCACGACCGCACAGTCTGCACATCCACACAGCATCAACTCCCTTCAGCACCAGTTCCCCCCACTTATGTCAAATAAAAAACAACAGCAGCAGCAACAGCAGCTGCCACCACAGGCTACAACAGATCCCACCCAGGGGGCTCCAAACCTAACCAAGCCACCCACCATGTCATACGCAAGCGCTCTTCGCGCTCCTCCAAAACCCCGAGCTGTTCGGCCTGAACAAGTCAAAAAGAATAGCGACCCCCTGTCTCTCCTGCAAGATCTAAGTATAGGAAGTTCAAACGGTAGCAATGGGTACTATTCCTATTTTAATTGAGCGTTAACCTTTCACAGTAGTAGGTGATTAAAAAAATATATAAATATATATATAAAAAAGCAAAAAAAAAAATCTTAAAAAAATAGTGCAAAGTGCATTTTAAAATGGTTTCTACAAGTAGACTTGTTTTCAGCCTTTTTTTATTTTAACCTTTTCGACTTCTTGTTGGTATCTGTCTTTTTTTTTTGCCTCAGACATATCTGTGGAGAAAGTCAATATATATATATATAACAAATGCATTACTGCTATACATATATATACATACTCATTATGTATATATGAATATATACTTATATTATCTACACTTGTACATGTACGTAATGCTAAAAAACTTAAAAAAAACTTAAATAATAAAAAATCCCAAAAAAAGGCAAAACTTGGTTGACCACTTAGATTCTCGTTTATTTTCACATTTATTTCCTTTTTAAACACAAATATGTTGATGTTTTAAGGTTTTTTTTCTCAAACGTGAGTAAATTCTGGACAGTTCATACTGTTCTTAATAAAACGGGCACCAGCTAAGTGGTCAACTGACAGAAACTACATGGAACCTTGTATAGAAGTAGATAAAATTTCCTCTAACCTGTACAGCTAAAGAAAATAAAAGACTGAATTGTACGCCACAGAAATCATGTTAGTATTTGCATTATAAGTTCTTTTTTTCCTGTATTGTTTTCAGCTTTTTTTGTTTTTTTTGTTTTTTTCCAGTTCTTAGTCATCTTTTATCCTAAAATAATCTTTGGTGATTTAGTGGTAAATGTGATTATTTATAGAAAAATAAAATCAGTTTTTATGGTGTCATTTGCTTTTCACCAAGATTTCATCAGGAAAACTAGATGCTGTGTAAAGATGTCAGTGTAACAGCTGTGGCATTCCTCCTCTTGTCATTTTACTGACCAAACAGCTGAAGCGCTTCACCTGTTTGGTTAGATTTATATTTTCTTCATTTTATTTTTCTTAATCTGAAAAGAGGTCATTCATTGCTATGTTCACACTGCAGGCAAATGTGACCAACATCTGATTAAAAAAACAATAATTTTTGCCTCGTGCGGGATGAGCAGATCGATCTATATAATAATAATACTAACCTTGAGTTGTGCTGTTTAAATCTTGTAGCTCCATGCACCTTTGATTCCCCATATCCTGGATGACTGAGGATCCACAGAAATCTCTGGTCCACCATCGGTCACAGGCCATCAATACTAAAAATTACTCAATCGATACTTCTCTTTAAGCTCGTCACTTTGTTCTAAAAATAAAATGCTGCACTGGTGCATCTGGCACTAGTTAGAGGCAGGTGTAAACACTGAACAAGCGTGTTAGGAAATGATTTAATCTGCTCTGATTGCAGCTTCAGAATCGACAAGCTAACAAGTAGCATCCCTATTTAGCTTCTTCTGTAAACGGCTAAATGTAATGTCTCGTCATCTTCTGTGCATGCACATCACATCAGGGCCATAGGGAGTTCACATAGGGAGTCGGATTGAAGTCCCTTTCAAAATATAATGTGCACGTCCACAGACACAAACAAAAAAATCTAATTTTTACCAGAAATCTGAATTAAAGGGGCAATATTATGTGTTTCTCAGGCATACATTTAAATACTATACCATAAAAACGTATCTTTGTCACGTTTAGTTGTTATTAAAATGCTGTTTTTATGTTTAAATCGAAAATAAACTTATCTTCTCATCACTTCCTCTTCTAAACGCCTTGAAATTGGCCTCTGTCTCTTTAAAAACCTCCTTCCGCTTCAGTCTCAGCCTTTTCGGTGCGGGAAAAGGGATGATGCAGCTTACTTGGCATCTGAAAATACATTTCCTCAAAGGTATTTTTAATCTGAAAAGAGCTTCACTGAGTGAGAACTAATGTTGAGAGCTCAGCAGACAGTTTAAGTTTCACTTTCGCTTTCACCCGAGAGCCTGCAGGAATCGTGGGCGGGGTGTGTGGGGAGGGGGGAGCGAGGGCGCTCTGCCATGAGGAAGTTCAGCTTAAAGACACGTCCCAGGGGTGTTTCTGGTCCCCACCTGTCGTTTTGCTCCTCAGCGTGGCTGCCTAAAAACACTGCAGGATTTCTCAAACATGCATGAATGAGTCAAAGTGAGGCTTTGGGCATGTCTTTTATGAGAGTATAAGGCTACGTTCACACTGCAGGCAAATCTGACCCAAATCCGATTTTTTTTTTTTG